GGGGGGGGGGGGGGGGGGGGGCGAAGGCCATCTGTGTCCGCACAGCCAACGCATCTATCCAACGTGTAGAAAGCCGACAGCGGGACCCCAGAACTATTTAGAACGGCCGCGCCGGGAAGGGGATGCGTTAAGAATGAAAAGCATTGTTGGACACCACCACCCGAAGGTGGTTTTGCCCGATAGGGGCGTGCTGTGCTTTTTTTGTCATTGTTGTTCTGTTACAACTAACGGCGTGGCCAAGCATGGACACTCCGAATGTGATATGCCTACAACAGACCATGCTACGCTTACCACCAACACATATCGACAACCGCATCATGCGTCACCAAACACTGGCAGCACACGACATACTTGCTCCTCAACGGCAAGGTCTGTTGACCTAATCATCAATCCAGAGAGCAGCTGCGGCGCATCTAGTCGCTCAATCACCTGCTCCCTTTTTATCGGACGATGGTCATCAAGAGTCGAATGTGGCGGACCATTTGACACGGCTACCGCCAAGACCTCGCGTGTGCCGTTGGAACTTGGAACATAGTGGGCATGATACCAAACATCGAAGTCTGTCGGAGACAAAAACACGTCCAACATCGGACTGTAAAGATGCAGTCGTAGCGCAAGCAAATCTTTACATCGGGGTGTTGCGCCGCCAGTCACCAACATGTCGGCTGCACGAACGCCTGCTACATAGAAACCCTATCGGACATGACAACACGCCCCCCGCGAAACATCACGACCGCCGCGTCAGCAGAACTTCCATCTGTTCTTGCAGTTGCTGCACGTCACGAACGTCGTCATCGGTTCATCGGCAGACCTCGTCTGCTTCTGCGTGTAGGTCGTCTTGGTCGACTTGCACCGGCCGCACTCGAACATGCCCTGGGGAGCGGACAACAGGCAGCAACGAGAAGGTTCGAAAACACACCGATGACGTCACCGATGACGTCACCGATGACGTCATGCCAACGACCAAGGCAGCGAGTGGGCACCGTCACACGACGGGGGTGAGGGGGTGATGACGTCAGCCAGCGTTGGGATACCAAAAAAAGGAACGTCCAAACACGCCATTGTGGGAGGCAAAAACCACGGGGAATTGATGTTGAGACGTCCAGACCCAAAGCTAGGGTGCTACGTGGAGTGGCCGGAGGCTTGCAACCCCCGGTCCCGTTGGACGACCATCGCCTTAAAATACCTATCAAAGCTGAGAAAATATGGTGTTGCTTGACAACGACTTTGGCCACGGTCCCCTGGTATTTGTGGGGCTGGGGGTTGATTGAACACCATGGTTACTTGATGAAAAGTTACAAAAGGGTCAGTGTCGACCTTTCCCCAGACTCCTTTGCTATGGCCGATCTTGTCTTGCCGCTGTTTGTGGTGCAGCAACGACGGCAGCACCGTGCTGCCGAGGCGGCAGAGAAGGACAAGAAGCTGAGGGACTAACAAGCTACAGCCGCCAATCGCCTGCACCAGCTCCGCAAGGAGGCGGCAGCCCTGGAGCGCCAACAGCGCGACCGGCAACACGTCCTCGCCCTGGCGGAAGAGGAGGAGCCATCCGCTATCTCTGAAAGCGACAAACCCTCCGACGCCTTCTACACAACACAGCAGATATGGGCTGGAGGGGGAAGTTGGGGCGGGGGCGGCCTTGCAAGCGCCGCCCTTGATGCGGCGGTGAGTGGCTGAGTGCGGCTTTGTGTGGAAGTCGTCGACTGGACTACCACATGTTAGAGGAATGCTCCTCCTGTTCCGCCAGGGCGAGGGCATGTTGCTGGTCGCACTGTTGGCGCTCCAGGGCTGCCGCCTTCTTGCGGAGCTGGTGCAGGTTAACACAGGCGTGTGACACTCTATAAAGTCAAGCCTAGCTAGAATGAGGGTAAGCATTAGCATTGTCGTCAGCACGAACGCCTTGGACATGATTGGGCGGATCACAGTAAACGCCACCTCAAGCTCCTCAGGGCGGGGGCAGCAATACCTGTAGCTGTGTGGAACAACTTGTACCTCCAATCGACCCGACCACAACGTCCAAGAGCACCGAAGCACGCTCTCACCTCGGTCTCCTTGATGCCGCACTGCTTGTTGATCTTGTCTTGGTTCTTGTCGTACCAGTCCAACCTATCAGTATCATCGCATCATCACAGGGTTAGGGTTAGCAACGGGGATGGCGGTCAAGATTCTGTGGGTATGTCCTCGTTCTGATGTGCCTGTTCCCGCAACGTCAAGTGCGTGCTGAGGTGTGGATCTTGGCTACCTACACACACAGGCGTTGGCACAGACAGATTATTTACAAGCCTGCTGTTTCACGCCCAAATGTTTCACCTTCTGCCTTCTATCATTGACGTCCCTGTCCACTCATTTTACACTACACGAAAACGCTTAACGGTACTATGCGCATAACTTTGGCGTTGAAACGATACCAGCACAAGGTGTTAATTGTGACGCACGTCCTCAAGCGTATCCTGTCCCCCCCGCTCACATTCGAGCCTCCGTCCTTTCGCTGACGGCCTTATCCATTGCCTCCCTCTTATCCTTGGCCATGAGCTCCGTCGAAGTCATCACCACCAATCGCTGCGGTTCCACCAGACCCTCTTGTACGTCTTGCCTAGACAACAAACACGCAAGAGACGACAGGAGGAAAAATCGCACTCAGAACGCCTTTCCAACGAGGGGAAATCATGAAGATCAAACAGCACGAAAATGTTCGGCAACACAAACAGCAGAATTGTGACAGGTTCGACAGAACAACGGTGACCCTAAACCGCGGCGTGAGGAGCAAGCAACCACTGTTGTGAGGGGCGTGGTATACTTCGTGCTGACGTCCATACAAAAGCGCAACAACGCAGTGCCGATTTTTATTGCTCGTCTCGCCTCTCTTCCTGCGGCAGAGCACAGATCACAACCGGAGCAAAAATGTTGCTCACGATCGCGTTGGCCGCATGGGCGGCGTCTTGCGACCCTCAGCCGAGAAGACGGCGATCGCAACAAATCTCACACATCGGGCGCAGGGAGAACGTCTGACAGCGGCAGCAGTGTCCTTCAAGACGGGGCCGCGACGGCCGACAACTCTGTTGCACGCACTAAGCTGTCTAGCGTCTAAGGACGGATCGAAACACACGGTAGAGCAGGCCAACAATCGCAATTGGTCACCTGAAACCAAATAGTGACGGTGCATGGCCCCAACCGCAACAACAACCGCGCACTCATCCGAGTTTTCGTTGCAGTGCTAAGTCCGTCGACACTGCCGGTCCAAAGAGGCTACGGGGTGTGTGCTCGTGTTATGCATGCGGTTAGACTACTTGTATGACCACGCGTCAGTGTTCCCACAGGACGATCACCGATGGCCAATCGTCCATTCCTTCGGGGGGGGGGG